CTAATCACGATTTCCTAAAAGTATTACAAATGTCTAAACCACAGCAAACGGTTTGCTGTCACACCTGATGCAATAGGCACAGTAGCAAAATATTAGTAATAAATAACAATAATCAAGCTTTTTAGTCGACATTAACCGGCCAATGTTTTAATACAGAAAATTTATTGCGAAAAATATTACCTCAGCCAGGATTTGAGCCTGGACCTCCCTACTCTTTAGGCGGGCGTCTCAACAATTCGACCACTGAGGCATAGCTGAGGTAATACTTTTCGCAATAAATTTTCTGTATTAAAACATTGGCCGGTTAATGTCGACTAAAAAGCTTGATTATTCGAATATTAGCTATCACAACTAAATATTAACTGTCCATATTTTACAATTGGAACCTCACGATAGCTACATTTTTTTCCCGTGAACATAATCCCTATATTCCAAGATTCCTACGTATTACGTTGACTGAAACTTTATTATTTGTGACCTTAAAATTTCTTAACCAATGTGGAAAAATTGTTAAACGACGCTAACCGGCAAATTCTAATTAAAGAGATTTGGTGCGAAAAATATTACCTCAGTCAGGGTTTGAACCTAGACGGGCGTCTCGCTAATATTTTTCGCAATGAATTTAATTAATTAGTTAGAATTACTTAAATTAATTAGTTAGAATTACTTAAATTAATTAGTTAGAATTACTTTAATTAATTAATTAGGATACGCCAGTCAGCGTCGTTTAACAATTTTTCTACATTGGTTAATCGTGTACTGGCGTCAAATAATCCTTTGCGTTACTTAAAGTCTCTTCTAAAAAAATTGCAAATTTCTTTATTAATATTCCTTCTCGTTTATTCAACAGCAGTTTCCTTCAGTTTATGACTCAAGATATCAGTTTCGCCGGAATGTGCGGAAATGGACGGGAATCCGCAGGTGCGTGTGCGGCGGCTGAGATAGCAAGTTCGCGAAGAGCGATACATGTGCGAAAAATTTCACAAGTGACGTACACCGGCACGTATAAGTCGGATGACGAACGACGGTTAGAATTACGTTGCGATTGCACGGGGTGCTCCGCATAGCGACGCGTCCGAGGTCATGACGCATTGTCATCTCGTTGAAAAGCACGCGGAAAGCCTGAAAATCCCGGGCAGACTTGGCAGGCATTGCGACAAACGATCTCGCCGGTCTTCTCTAGCGACTCGTTACAAAATAGAGAACGGAGCAGAAATAGCGAGCGGCATTAAAATTCGGCGACCCCCTTTTCGCACAGCTGGACAAACTTCGCGGTCATCAGGAATTTAATAATATTTAATTGATCTAGATCATGAAAATAGTCTTGTTATCACGTACCGTTTCAGCGCTGCGGATTGACATTTTTATACCGTGTACAGGGACGGACGGGATGGTTGCGACACCTTCTCTTAATGAGTTTAGGAACATGCATTTGTTAGATTCAGGGTTACGTTCCAAAATCTTCCCGGGAAAAAAAGCTCATTTTATATATGTCTCAATCGTGTAATATCTAATTATATCTCATGAGATCCAATTATAAAAGTCATCAGATTCTCTCATTGAGATCTAATTATGTTCTCTTAGGACATTTAATTGTAGAGTTAGTTAGATCTCAATGGATATAGTAACATTGAATAGTGAATAAGAGTGTCAAATCTGTGAAGGCTTTAGAATTGAATATAATTAGATTTTACATAATGAGACATTTCCATTTTTTCCCCCGGATTCTTCCCCGAGGACTATTTCACTCGATGGCCATTCCTCGTGGAAAATGTTTCGGAATATAAAAACCTGAATCTAAATGCGCGTTCCTAAACTCGTTAAAAATTAAGTGCTGCAACCACTCTGTCCATCGCTGTCCACGTAAATATTACGCGACAATTCACATTTATATAGCATTAATTCGTAACACATTAAGAAAGAATTTCGATTTAACGATTGATAAGTTGGTAATATATATTTTTTTTAATTAAAATCGCGAGCTTTGAAATGCTCGGCGAGTCAAAGGCAGAAACGTTGATGCGCGCAACTTTGCGAATGATACAGGAACGCGGCTGTCTGTAGCATGAGTGGAGTAAAGTTATGATAATTCTCCGATAAAGGATATACGATATGCATTCGCTGTGAAACCGCATCCGCGGTAGCATCAGCTGATCGGAAATGCTGCCACTTCAGCTCGTTAGACATTACCGATTTCTCGCAAGGTTATTACTTGCTGCGCTTACTAATGTATTTATATTATGTATAGCATCGCGCCAAAAAAAATGCGTAATACTATAAATATTAATGTAAAAGCTCATGCATACATTCAAATGCAAAAAAAAAGTGCGAATAAAAATTAACCTATTTATATATTAATTCATCCCAGGGAGACATTAAAATTTTTTAAAAGTTCCGAACGGTAACTGTTTATGCGAATACGAGGCATTATGTATATTAGATTATTCGCAGTTATTTATGACTCGATCGCGGAAAAGTAATAAATCTCTTTTTCTATGCACCGCGATTGGTGGGTTCGTTACGCACGTCGGCGGGACTGTTCATTGCGATAATCGAGTGTGCGTTTCCACTGGGTCGTGCACTTCCGCCGCTGACGTGCGAGTTGGCGATCAATCGCGTCGCAAGAAAGCGCGAGGATGCACGCGAGAAAGTCAAGCACGTGCTACTGACATACAGGCTCGTCCAAAATATATTCTATCGATTTTGCGGAACGAATCGAGTCAACCTGCGGATTAATTTAAGAGATCTGCTACTCGAAAAATTCCCCCTCCGTTTGAACATGATATAAGAGTAAGAAGAAGGACGCGCTAATGTGCGAGCGATGTTGAAACAAAAATCCAACTCGTAAATGCAGTCGAATCTAAAATGGAAAAGTTTGAAATTAAATAGTCGATAGCTGTCTTATAATTATGAGTTTGTCAGAAAACACACGTGCATGCTAGAATTGCAGGCTCGCTAATCTGGCTGCAAAATCGCCTACAAATATTTCAACGTGCAACTTATAGACGACAGTCTCCTATTATGAGACGGACTCTTAATATGAGATAGCGGAGTTTCTGCTAAATTAATAGGCATCGTCCGTTGGTTCCGTCGTAAATTTATTGCCCTCGGAGTAAACTTTGTTCACAACGTCAGTGTTTTCTTGACCACATCTGGGGTTTTTAGTAATACAGAAAATTTATTGCGAAAAGTATAACCTCAGACAGGGTTTGAACCTGGATCTCCCTACGCTCTAAGCAGGCGTCTCGCCAATTCGACCACTGAGGCATGCCCTGGCTGAGGCAATATTTTTCGCAATAAATTTGCTGTATTATTAAAAATGCCAGATACGGTCAAGGAAACACCGACGTTGTTAATTACTGCCGGCGACATTGAAGTGTATTCTTATTAGTTAAAATTTGTTTGGTGGAAAGTTCATTGTTAGATCGTCGCGAGAAAAAGTTTTGCGATTGGATGTTAGAACCTTGTCCCACAATAGGGGACTTTCCTCCGCTTGTGTAAGGGAAACGTTACATCGCGTAAGTTCGCATATTTTCGAGAGCAGTTTTGAGCCACTCGGTAGGAGATTCGCAATACACGAGGACTATTTGCGAGTACTAGCAGCACTCGGGCCAAAAATAGACCAAGCTATAGGTTTTCAACCCTTGCGGCACGTCATCTTTGGCAAGACGGTGATTACCAGCCTCTTCCCCGTCTTCCCTTCCGATAATAAAAATATCGCAACAGCGTGTTTCGACTCGGTTCAGAAATAATAAGAATACGAGCTGAGCTTTGCCAAGAGAGGCAAAAGTTCGGTCGGTTCGATCGAAACGCATCCTGACAAGTCGAGTCACAACTTCTTTGCCTCAACTATTGATATTTCTTATCAATATGTATTTCTAAGTCGTAAGTCGTAAAAAACGCAAACTTTGTCGATTATAGGAATTTACGAGCGTCCAAAGATCGGCGAAACGAATGTTAACGGCCGTGTTAAAAGGCGCGAGCTTTTCGTTCGCGATTTCCACGACAACCTGCGGGAGAAACTGTGCCCGAAATTGATATATCGTTTTCTTACACATTGGCATGTTACAAAGAAAATTAAAACAAGAAAGGTCGAGAAACAATATTCGTGTGTCTCAATAGTTAGTTTCTATTTTTAAGCCACACGCAAATGCTTATCTTCGATATTTTTATGCGATCCGCAGATCGCATAAGACTTCTCGTGATGTTTATGTGCAATTAGTGATATTAAGCATTTTTGAATAAAAATCTGATCTTTGTAGCATTTCTTAGAGATTATAGTGTTATGAAGGCTAGCATTTTTGTAACATAATCATTTGCGACGTTCGCGACGTAAACAGGTCGACTGGGAGAGTCACGTAAATTATGATTTTTATCTAAATATTATGAAACAATTGCTTGTCTACGAGACGGTGGGGAGATCCGGATTTTAGGAAACAAGAAGTGCTTTCCATAAATTACTTATTTCCCTCGATTATTTCCCGACGGTAATCTTGTAATTTTTCCCAAGTGTCGTCGTCTCTCGCTCGGTTCGTTCGCGCATGAATTTACATTATCAATAATCTCACAATTTAGACCTGTTGCAATGCGGAGAGACTTGATAATCACATCCGTCGTTCTCAGAAAGAAATTTGCCATCAATTTACTGAGTCACAAGCCGACAATGTAATTTATACTTTATGTAATAAAATTATGCAACTCTTGAGATTATTTCTCCTTCGCATAATCAGGTTATCTCTAAAAATTATACATATATCGATGCTGATAATTTTAAAATTAACTACTCCGATACGCTATCAAGTCGTCTCCTCTCTTTCAAGCAACACGTTTCTTAAACGTCTTCGCTGTCATTCCGCGAGCTTTTCACTATATTTTTCCAACAAAATCCCATCTAGAATGCAGATAACAAAATAAAACCACGGTGGTTCTTCGCGACCGATTGTTGGATGAACTCGCTAACAATCCTGTCAATATTCGTAAAATTTGTACTGAATACTCACCAAAGTATTCTGATATCCCAGTCCATATTCCTCGTTCTCTCTTCGAGAGGATGCCATTTTGACTCCTTATCTCGCGCGACAAGAGCGACCAATTCGAAAAATTGTGTTCAATCGCCGCCGTGGAAAACGGCTTCTAGGGAAAGCGACGAGATGGAAGGAGGAAAGGTAGGAAGAGGCGCAAAATAAGTCTAGCGTTTCCTCCGAAAAACCGCGCCCCCGTAGGGCGGAAATTCGAAGATGACGAAGGCTTGGTCCACGATCGGCCGTCCGTCCCAGGCGCTGGATCTTCCTCGTCTTCCTCCTCGTTCTTTCCCCTCGCGGCGACGGCAATTCATCGATGACACCCCTCACCTCGAACGCACGGCGATCAACGTCATAGGTCTCGCTCGGTCTTCCTTTCGTAAATTTCGGAGCTCCGATTTTTACCGGAGCCTCACGCGAGAGTGGCACGATTTAGTTGCTAAGTTGATGACGCGCGGTCGAACGTGCGGAGAACCGAACGAAAGGTCAGCGCGGAAAAAATCCCCAGTCAAAATAAAACTCCGGCGTAGCGAAAGGTCGAGTGTTATCCTCTAATATGAGAGCAATCGTCGATTATTGCTCCGGAATGGAGCTCGTAAAATGACGGAGTGAAAATTTTCGAGCCGCTCGCCCGCGCGCGTATCTTCACGTCGATAGCTTAGAATCGATACCGTCAGCTCCGCGAGTTGCTCCGAATTTATCGCGCCGATAAGACCGCGCTCCAGATATGACTGTGTCACTCGTAAATTATTCGTCGGGTTATTAAAAATCCACGAGCACTGCCCGCGCGGACACTTCGGAGATCGGCGATTCCGTGCACGCGCGATTTAAATCGCAGCGACGACGCGCTTTCGAGGGAAACGCGCGAAAAGCGCTGCCGCCGATCGCGTGGCCGTCGTCGGTGGCTTTCGCGAGCGCGAGCGAGAGATAAAGAAACGGCTGAAAATATCGTCCAGTCACTGCGCAAACACCGGCCCGCGCGACGCGACCAACTCGCGGCCGCGAAAAACCTGTCGTGCTGTCGTCCAACGAGATCGGACCCGCGCCTCCCGATCGTTGCGGCCCGAAACGTTATCGTGACACGCGAGGTGGACTTTCGAACTGGTAAATATTGACGCCGAGGACGTTTTGCAAGCCAAAAATGCTCGTCACGACAGTGGCACGCGAATAACGCAACTCCGGAGCGCTGTCGTCCCGTCGGTAGAGCCGAGCGGCTCCGCGCGGTCACTTCCAAAGTGCCTCGCGAAGTTCTACGGAGACCACGATCTCAAGGCGTAGACGCACTTTTTAAACAGACGCGTCCGCGTAAATCGCACTGATAACAAGCTGCCCAAGGAACGACACCCGGGTGGCAGACGCTCCGTTCGAACGACGTCGCGTCGTCGAAATTTCCGCTCGGTCGAAGAACGCGCGAGAGAGGATGAGGATTATCTTCCGATACGTCACCTGGACGGCTCCGGGCCGCCCGTACGCGGGGACGACAGTGCCAACCGGTCCCGCGTGCGCGGTTTATCCCGCGGTGTGCGCGACTTTTCAGTCAAGGATCGCCGATCGTCGCCGCGAAATCGCTCGTGGACGGCGGGACGCGGCTGCGGCGCGCGCTTCGCGAGCGCCTCTGACTGCCCGGCTGGACGGTCGTGAGCCGACTGATAGGTGTATGAATGAAGCGGCCGAGATTTCAGTCACTCTCCGCGTTTGTAGGAAATTCAAAATCGGCGGCGGTGGGCGTCGCTGCTACCCGCGATCGATTCCTCCCCGGATTCGCGCGGCTCTCGCCGACGTGAAATCCGCGCGAGGTTGCCTCGAGCGAGGGGGGGAACCGCTGAGGGCATTGTGCTGTACAGATTTGCGGCGTTACTGGGCATTTTTTGGGGGCATTAGGCCTTGCTGGGGCATCATAAAGATAAGATAAGATAAGATAAAATAATTAATGAGCATTTCTTCAATGTCACCAGCGATAATTGACAACGTCGGCGCTTTCCTGACCATATCCGGCAGTTTTAATAATACATAAAATTTATTGCGAAAAATATTACCCCAGCCAGGGTTTGGAACCTGGACTGCCCTACTTCTTCCCTACTTCTTCCCCACAGTGGTTACATGTAACACGCCTCAGTGGTCGAACTGGTGAGACGTCCGCCTAGAGTGTAGGCAAGTCCAGGTTCAAACCCTGGCTGAGGTAACGTGTTTCGCGATAAACCTTCTGTGTTACTAAAAACGCCAGATATGGTCAAGGAAACTGACGAGGATAAAATAAGATAAAACGAGTCTGGGCATTAGTGGGCATTGGTGTACAAGATTTTGGTCAGCGGTTCCCCCCTTGGGTCTGGGCAGAATGGCTGTCCTGTATTCTTACATCATAAGACAGTTATTGTGCGTTAGGTCCGGTCTGCAATGAGTGTTAGTCGTTAGTCAGAAGTCAGAACTATATGTCGGTTCTTTTTCTTCCACCCGGAAAGGAAAAGGAGCAACACATAGTTCCGACCTATTAACTAACAACTCACTGTAGACCAGGCCTTTACCTTAAGGCAAATATTTAAAACGTAATGCAGAGTACAAGACAGCCACTCTGCTCGGGTCCTAACAGGTCGTCGACGCGCTCTCGCCTTTCGCCGTTACGGGGAGCGCGGCGCGAACATGTGGGAATATCGCGCGACTTTCGTTCTATCGACGTGGCATCGCGCGCGATTCGAAAAATCCATTACCGTCGGTTCTACCTGTCAATATTTTCTCGCGTTGGAAACGGTAATTTTGAGAAACTTAATTCTGCGACAGGACCACGCGAATCGCTTCGTTCCTCCGCGCCGCTGCCGATAACATTGCAGCCGAAGGAAATCCAGTTCCCGAGTACGGTATCGCAAGTAGCTACGGCCTCGTATTGTCGAACGTTTCTTCAATTGGCGCGACGACTGATAATAATGTCAGCGAAAGACTTAATCGAGCCGCGCGACGATAAAAGTGAGCGTCGCTCCGTACCGAGACTTGATAGCGGGGAAAAACGCGGGGGCTGACATTTCCTCGTGGACGTCCGATTACAGCGGCGAAAGGCTCGATTCTATCGAACGCGATAATTTTCAACGAGTTTAACGAGTCAGGTGGGCGCGACGACCTTCCACTTGGCATCGTTTCGCTCGCACGCGACCACGTTTTTACGCGCGAGATCAGAGCGATCGACCTTGACCGTCGCCGATTCGCGAATGTATGTCGATCGACAGGAAAACGGTACTAATTGGCCATCGGAGAAACGATAATCTCATCTTCCGCGTGACGCCTCGGATCGGACGATCGAAGAGATAAACGGCGAGAGCATATCGACGCCTGATAGCGATCGATGCTTCCTTTGTTATCAAATAACGCTCGTTGCTGTCGAATTCTTTCCGTACCAAACTGCCCTTAAAATCTCCGCATGAAATATCTAACTACTCAAGCTAACGACGCTTCGACTTGCCCAATCACCAAGTTTTCTTATTCTAAAGCGACGGCAAATACGTTATTGGCAGTCGCAGAAAAAATCCGCTTGAAAATGAAATATTCAAGCTAATGACGCTTCAACTTACCCAACTACTAATGTTTCTTATTCTAAAGTGACGGCAAATGTGCGTTATTGCTACACGTTACGTTGCAATATGTAGCAGGTTCTGAATAATGTATACCGCGCTAGCGAAAATAGTAGAGCGCATCTTCGTATTCATGCAAACCGTGCTGCTTTGCGACCCGTTCGTTAAAAGGTTTCCCCCCGTTGCTCTACCTGTGTCGCGCAATTTTTTTTTTCATTTTACGACGCAATTAACGTTGCGTTCGATTAAGCGAGCCTCCCTCCGCGAGGACGACCCTGAATCTTGGAAAGCGCACGTCGGCGACTCTCGACCGAACAAAATCGACGTGGGCTCGAGCCGCGGGACGGAAGAGCGTCAGGCGGCATAAATATTCATGAGCGACCGACCGTTTCTAGGCGCGTAATCAACGTAGAATCCGACGGGGGTTTACTGCGTCCGCGCGTGGATGCGGTAAAGAAGAAAAAAAATACGCGGTTTGCGTCTTCTAGCGCGGCGGCCCGATTTTTTACGACGCCGAGAAACGAGAGGTGACTCACGCGACATTCCTGATGAATCCAATACAATTTGACGTGGCGGCGAGGGAAATCGCGCGTCAATTGCGCAGGGCTGTAATTGCTTCGCAAAAAAGAAATTGCAATTTCGCTCGGCCCACCGTCGATTACGGCGCAGGCGCGACGGGACGGGCGGCGGGAGATTGGATGAGAGAATCGTTGATGGACTCCGTCGGGAAGAGTTGTACAAACATTATATATTATGTATAATTTATAATATAAGCGTTGCGCTGTAACAAGATTAACGTCGTAAGAATACCCCAGTGTTCATTTTGCTTCTTTAAAAAAAAAACAAGAGAGGAAGGCCACCCGTATTAATACTGGTTGTTAGTCTAATAATCGTGTGCGCTTCGATGCAACAATAAGTCTCAAAAAATATGTTCTCTTTGTTCCCAATTCGTGTGTGCGGACGACGTGTGCGCAGGCATTCACGTTCACGCTTCGTCCGGCTCTTTTGCGGTCCCCCGTGTGTACGTACTTCACCAAAAAATATATATATATATATATTTATATAACTTATCCTAAGTGAGAGGATGGTCGATCGGTACGGACACCGCGCGTCTCTTGCCTTTGGTACAACGCTATCATTTCGGAGAATTATCGGAGCTGTCCGAGGACGAACTTGGCACAACCGAGGCTGTCACAGAAAAGAAACAAGAAGAGAAAACCAGTGTAGCCATTGCAGGGCCCCATACAGCACAGATGGTTGCAGTTACGTTGCAGAAACGTTGCAATCTTGCAGAGACATTGCGGGGATATAAAATTGCAAACTTTCGATAGCAATATTGCAGCAATGTTTCAAAAATAATGAAGACACTATATTTTCTAAATTAGTATGGCTCGTAAGTGTTAATCACAAATTTCAAAGAATTTAAAGGACTCTGAGCCGTGACCGGGCGGTAGCGTCTAAATATTTTATTCTAATTATATTTTCTATTTAAAAAGTTTTTCTAATTACGAGAATTTTATAATGCTATTTCCGTTGATACCAATAATGCGCGAATTATTGAGTACTTGATCAGTGCGGTGTCGCTCGCAATCTCCATCTATTGCGAAGCGACACAATCTCCTTAGTCTGTTTAAAAATATCTTCGTGGCATCTCTCTTTCTTTAACACTCTCGATTTTAGTTTAGGATTATAATGACTATCCTCGCAACACCGCTAAATACACGTGATTCTATGCACACGACTAACACAGTTATAATCGCTTGAAAAGGGCCAAAACCCATGGTCGAAACGTAGCGATACCAAACCATTAAAATTGCCAGATATGGTCAACCAAATTAGATGTTTATAATCCCCTTAGGTTGCTTCGCAATAGCTTGCTGTGTATTGAAAAAGGCCTGGATGCATATGTAATTAGCAAATTCTCTGCTTATGCACAACGACAAATTGTTCCAAAAATATTGCGCCGCAACATTGCTATAACGTTGCACTGCAATCTCTCCGAGGGCGGACATTTCAACGTTGCTGCAATCCTCCAGAAACGTCGCTGCAATATTGCAATCTTGCAATGTAACATTTCTGCAATCTTCCTGCAATCTTTCTGTGCTGTGTCGGGCGTTAACGTTCAGACTTGACCAGGTAGTCGCGTCCACTCACCAATGATGATGATTAAGATAACGACGCATATGATGCCGAGGATCAGCATCATCTTGAGATTCTTCCACCAGTACTTCCGCTTCAGCTTGCCGGCGTGCTGCTCGAACTGCGTCGCGCCCTGCTGCAGGGCGTCCGCGCGGTTCTCCAGCTCCGACAGCTTCTGGTCCCGCTCCAGCACCTTCTCCACGTTGACCTTCATTATGCCCACGACCTCCTCCACGGTGGCCTGCGTCTGCTGCAGCTTCTTGCTGGCGCCCGCCTGCTGGGCGTTGTGCGGCCCGCCCGCTTCCCCGCCTGCGCCGCCACCCTCCATAATCCTGGAACGACAAAAGGGCTCTCTACGACTAACCTGTCTCGCACACCGTCTCTCGCCTCGTCGATTCACGAGCGTCCGCGCGCGCGCGCGCGACCTCGGACCGTGGTGAAGCGTAAAGCGACGCGGGCGGAAACGCGAGTCCCGGTGAGACGCGGATTCAACAGGTACACGCCCATAACCTCCAAAGTCACGCATATGTTCCCGAACGAGCTCGAAACCGCGCGGCGACCCACGGAATATTCATCAATCCGTTCTCGTTAATAAATGAGCGAGGTCCACGTGCGCGCGCGGGATCGAAGTTAAAATGCGTGGAGATACGTGGGAGATGACAAAAGCGTTGTCGGCACGTCCGGAACGGACGGCGTTTACAATTGATCTCGGCGCCGCGGTGACATCGTACAATCGCTTACTCACCTATAAAAGTATCGAACGCACGAGCGAGACGAAGCCGACTTATTGAATCCTGCGAGGCGCAACGATATCCCGCAAATCGCTCGCGATAATTCGCCAACGAATTACAATAACAGTGGATGACACGAGTCGAAGATGGCGATAATCATGACGTCACGGATATTGTAGCTAGGCGCTCGCCGAAGAGGAGGGGGCGGGCGGGCGAGAACGCGCACCGATGACTCGATCGCGGATCGCTTTCCTCGATTTTTCTGCAACGCGCGCGAACAATAGAAACTTATTAATCTGCGCCGACGAGCCCCCGCGAACCGCCCCGCGTGCTCTTTGACAGTTTATCAAAACAGCGCCCGTTCGCGCCATCTGAAGGCGGCGATCGGATTTACCGCGCCGGTAAAAGCGGTAGTCCGCTGAATTCAAAAACACGGCGGCAACGCGACGTAATGTAAGGCCTGTTCTTTATTACTGGCACTAACTAGTGCAATAAGTTAAAATGAAACAAATAGATTACCTCTCATTCCAACTCATTGCACCAGTGTGCACTAATTCAGGAGTTCAGCAATAAAGAACAGATCCATAGAGCCAAAGGCTGATGGCAGAGAACAATCCGTAAACGCTTAAGACTGTCTCAGTCGTAGACGTAGGGCAAGGCAGAGAGAAACGTAAGTCGTAAAAGGCTATTGTATACGACTTACGCTTCTCTCTGCCTTGCCCTACGTCTACGACTGAGACAGTCTTAAGCGTTTACGGATTGTTCTCTGCCATCAGCCAAAGTCCCCTATCAGTTGCTTCCCTTTTACATGAAAACTCAGATAAATCTCACTTGTGACGTCATAACCCAGTTGAATGTTCCTTTTGATTCTTGAGATTCAACCAGATTTAACTGAGTTTTTGCACACGACCAAGACCGTGTGCTTTAGTGAGTTTAATGGACTCACATTAATGACGTCATATCTGAGGATAAAATACTCGCATAACTGAGTGACTTAGTATAACTTGAGTGTAAAAGAAAAGCAGCTGGTATCAGATAGGCTCGTGATTGAGATGAGCGGGGGTTTTTGTGTTAAATTGATGGGCGTCGTCAGGGCGTCAATTCTCTATCTTACGACACAAGGTGTCCCGGGAGGAAAGGTCAATATTCTGGGGGGTGACAGTATCGGCCATTTTAGGCAAAAATGTTCATATGAATATGCAGGGTTGGCAAGTATAAACCAGTTACATGTAACGAAGTTACTACAGTTACAGTTACTTTTTTCGGTAACTCGAACTTAACTTCGTTACTTTCTCTTCTCAGTTACATCTTTTCGATAACTAGTAACTAATTTGTAGTGACTTTATATATTTTTTAAACCTCCACAGATCGCGCTAGGTCTTGGATTTTGTACGTAAACGAATTTATCGACACTCAATAGTTCAAACGCAGATTTTTATTTTCATTGTAAGAAAGTAACGATTCGTCACTTTTTGAGTAACTGTAACTAGCGTTACTTTTCGGAATTGGTAACTGGTATTATAACTGTAACCAGTTACATTTCTAGCGAAAAACCTGGAACTGTAATTAGATACTTTTATAAAGTAACTTTCCCAATCCTGTGAATATGAAATACTATCGCCTCCCAGAATATTGACCTTTCCTCCTGGAACACCCTGTGCAGTGAAAATGAGCGGCCTTACAGGCCCGAACACGCGAAGAAACTTGAGCGGGAAAATGGCCAACGACTGCCGGATATGTAAGCAGCCATTTGGAAACTTAAGCTGGAAATGCCGACTGGTTGAAATTCTTAAAGTTTTAAGTTCTTCGCGTGTTCGGGCCTTATCTCTTTCTAAGGGGACAGTTAGAGTACTCACTTTTGGCATTTTCGCTACAGAATAATTGACCCCCCGTTGATTCCACCATGAATTCATTGTCCTTGGGGTGAAATCTGTGGAAAATTCATTGTTAGATGAATTCATTGCGTAATCGTAGCGAAAAGCCCGTGTCAGACCAGGGATTGAAATATTGATCAATCCCTGACCAATCGGAGTAAAGTTTATTAATATCAAATTTAATGAATTCTCTGATTGGTCCAATTTCAATCTAATCTCGGCCTCAATCCGTAAGTCTGATACGGGCTTGAAGAAGATTTGTGATCGAATTTGGGTGTTGAAAACCTGCTATCTCATATTATACGATAATATACGAACGAAAAATGGAACAATTTAATCGCACGCGTTGTATTTATTACGATTGATTGGATTAAATTAATTGTGACGGTACGGCGGGCGATCAGTCATTGAAATAAAAAATTTATATGAATATTCAATGCGCACTCGCTGTATCTCGTATCACACAAAAAAGACACGTTTCAATATATATTTAAAGTATACAGTAAAATTAAATTTCAAGTGCGCTTCTCTCTCTTCTAGATTCAATAATATATGTTCGAAATACTTTTCCTCGAGAGATAAAAATTTAGAATCGAACGGACTTAAACCACGTAGGTACGAATGAACCAAGCACCATCCAAGCAAGTTTATTCGCGTTTGTTCACGCCAGGGTTGGACGTTTACGCATGAAACGTAAAATCTGTATCTACATATATGCAATGCAAATTATGCTTAGCGTCACGTTAACAATTAGTAATGTATGAGTCATCGAACATTCATGTTTTGTCGGATGTGTATATCAGAAATTTATGTTTTGCTTGCAAGTTTATCTTTAGTTAGCATTATTTAGTTCGGACACAATGTTTAGCATGCCATGACAAATTTACAGGCCGAATCATATTGTGATATTACCGTGCATTTTTCACATCACCGTATTGAATTGTAATAAATAAATAAATAAATTATAACTCGAGCGATCGTGAAATTTACGGCATGACCCTTGTTTGCTCGCGCCTTGGCCAAAAGTGTTGGCCACCCCTTTAATTTTTGAAGAAAAGATAAAACACAAATCGCACAAATAGTATGTGCGATACACTATAAATCGTTCTAAAAAAAACTGAAAGTTATCAGTTGCTTATTGTTTATTTAACCCGAGTGCAAAATAATTTAAACTTATTGAGGTTTCCACACGGGTGGCACAGAGTTCTGGCCAAGGGTGTGAATCCACGCGCACAAACGAAGGAATATTAATTAAAAAAGCATAGACATTAATAAGCCAAGTTTCTAATAATAGTAATAACTTAGTAATAAGTTGGACATGATCTCGTTACGAAGAGCCGTGTGATAAATCATGAGAAATAAAACGCGAGATACAAATCGGGCAGCTAATCGGGACGAGAGGATCAGAAAAAGGGGATACGATATTTCGCGACAACTTTGTGGGGAAAAAGCCCCGGAATTTCACGGATCGGCGAGGGTCGGAAATGGGACTCGGTCGAGGCTCGACCGCGGGAAGAGCAACGCCTGCGAGAAGGGTGACCGCGAAAAGGTGACGACGCGAAACGGCCGTCTCTCGTCGAAGAAGCTGTCGCGGAAACGCAATGGCCACTTACCGCTACGAGCTGCCATAATCGGGCGTACGGGCGACAACGCGGAAGCGTCTCCGACGCCGATCGGCTCCGTTCACCATGTAACCCCGACGTGACTCGCGGCGCATATCGCGACGACGGCATAAATAAAACATTCTGCGGGATGCCCGTATACGTGCGCGTATTCGCACCGCGTCGCTCGCAGGAACGTACGCGAGGCTCCGACCAGCCTCAGAGCAAGGAGCGCCGAGAGTCCAGTCGCTCGTCTTTCAGAGAGCAACGTATTCGAGACTGCGAATACACCGCGCGATTCATTCGTCTAGCGCACAAATCATTCGCGCGTACAAAACGTACGATCGAAAATTCTGTCTCGCACGAGTGTCAATCCGCGCGATCCCAATGCACTCGAGCGCGTTAGGGTAGGCGGACAATTTCCTCTACGGGCTTCCTTCCCCGAACACTGCGAATCGCTTCTCGGATTAGAATCGTTAACGCGTGGACGAGGTATTTAAATCCACCCTGCCGGGCAGAGGCAAGAATGTCAACCGCGACGGAGCAATTCCGGGCCGTTCGCCGAGCGAAACGGGGTCGAGGGAACGCGCGTGGCACACGGCGCTCGCGGAAACGTTCCTGGCGGCCGTGCAGGGTGTGTTCGCGCATGGGGGTTGCGAGGCGTCGCGACCGAACCGTTTATCGACCAGAGAGTCAGGCCCGCACGTGCGCAATCGTCGCGGGGTTGGCGCGTCGTCCGTCGACCCTGCCGCCTCGAGAGATCGACTCTCGACCGCGTCCGCGGCGCC